TAATGATAAAATAATATAAATAAAATAATATATAATAGAAATGTTTTTGGCACTGATCTCACCCCATAGCATGTAGGGTTCACTTTTTTTTCACATTGTATTTACCTGGACTGCTAGATCATAAATTATTTTTGCAGCTTTGCCGTACCCAGATGTTTTCATATCAACATCTCCACCAGGAAGTAGTGCACTGATTGAACAAACAGACATGGTGTTAAAATGCAAAGGGGGAACAATTCTCAATGCTAGTTCATAAATTATTTTTGAGGCTTTGTTGTACCGTCTCTATTGGCAACAGTTAACTGTATACCCTAGAACTGTTACTGTTACAATGTACATTATTCTCCATTGTGTTTCCAGATCATACAGCTTCTGTCTGTCCACAACAGATTTTAACCTGTATTTCCTTCGTACTGTGAACAGCAGCCAATCACAAACCACCAGCAGAAACATGTGTTACAAACAAGCGAATAAATTAGGTTACCATATTATGAATAATAGCGTTGAAAAGTCAAACCTATTATTACAATTTGTCAAAATAAATTTCACAGGGAGACTCTCCTCTTTTTTTTTTTTGACATCTGCTGCAATACCGGTTAACTCAACCAATGAAATAGCCACATTTTATGAATGCCTACCAATCATGTGGGAGTATAGTGGAGTGATGGAAATTGCATGTATTTAAAATACTGGGGTATACGCACTGCCTAAACAAATAGAGGAGTTGATTTATTTTATTTATTATTGTTGTTGTTTTATTAAATAATTATCTTTCAGCTACTGCTTTGTATAGCACATGTTTTGTCTACACAAATATTAAACACACATTGTGTGGCAAATTTGATACTTTAATAATAATAACTTTATTACTAATGTAATAAATGTCCCTTACCCATTGATTGAATTAAAGAGATGCTGATAGTAAGAGTTTGATTGGTTCACAAGTATAGGTACAACTCTAGCGCCAGAACTTTCCAAGAATTTCACATAAGATGCAGCTATGTAGGTGTTACCATAGAAAGCTTTTTCTTCATCAGTCTTCTGAGATAGCACACCTGTAGGATTAGAATATTTTGTTTATGGCATATGGCACAAAATGATGTCGTGCATGGAACAATTTATAGAAACCACACATTTTCTATGTGTAACATGGGGAGAATGGGCTGAAGAAATTTGGGTTGTTGCAAAAATAATGTCATTCCGCACCATGGTTTATTATTTCATCCTTTGCCTCACCACACCATTTAGGAGATGACCATGGACGGCCAGCTAGAATTTGTTCAACCAGCTTCCCACCCACTCATCACCAGTTTTCAAATATGAACCCTTAACGAATTTGTTACCTATTATTGGCTTATCATGTGCTAATGTTGACGTTATTACGTATCCATGGTAAACCAGAAGTTGAAGAAGTGCCGTCAGTTTCACAGCGTTCATGTCCTCAATTCAATGTGTACTAGTTCTACGAACGCGCTGTGGCACATAAATAAATCTGCTATGTACTTTCGGTCACCTGACAAATCGTTGTGACCTTAGCGTGAACTTCCGTTTACAGCCCATTTATCCTGGACACAGACGACGCCATTTAAACATTCAAACTCCGTGCCGACTCCGTGAGGCAAGCGATATGTGTATGTCATCATACAATCACAGTACACTTTGATCAGTAATTCATTAGGGACGTCTTCAGATGACTGGGGGTTTGCCTCTGGGTCGGCCGGCCAAATTTTAAAGGGCGGCGGTCGTCGCGCAGCGCGTGTTCGAATTTCATGTAAATAAACAATGTATTTTACACGCGTTGTATACGTCGCTATGAGTCACATATCGAACAGAACGCGATTCGACGATTGTCGCCCTTCAATATGGATGTATGGAAAATAATGACTCACCCCATAAAGGGAGTGGGAAATACGGTAACTATCCTAGCAAAACATTACCTAGAAAAGTATTTTGCTATTGTTTGCCGAATTCGTATTTATATTTTGCTTATGAGCACCTTGAGTAAATACGTAATAAATAATCCCAAATAGCTCATGTACATCACTGTTACTAGAACTGATGTATACAGGTGTGTGTGCGCAGCAGACAGTCACAGTTTTACGGTTATATACCTTC